AGTTTTGTTCTTTTTTACTTTGAGGAAATGTAAAGTGGCACATACACATTTAAAATTATTATATTTTCCCAGTGAGTTGACTCGTATCATTTTGTATATCGTTTTTAAATTCTGTTTACCCAATGTCTACCTTTTCTGATATGACATAGTTTTTTTCTCTTGCTTTCTTTCAATTCATGTTTGCAGAGTCTATTTTTCAGCTCTCCACTTTCAACCTTTCTCTATCCCAAAGAATGTATTTGGGTTTTGTTTTGCTTTGTCTTTCAATTGGAAAATTTAATGTGTTTACATCAAATAAAATTGCTAACATTATTGGATTTAAATAGACGATTGTATTACTTGGTCACAGTTCCACCTGTCATGTTCCTTTAACTATCCTTTGTTGCCTTTTTTGAATTGATCAGTTTTTATTACTCTCTTTGGAAAATCATTACTTATACATTTTTTAACTTTTCTTTTAGTAGTTATCTTAAAGATTACAATAGTCATCCTTGACTCATTAGAATCTAATTTAGAATTGGTCTTTATAAGTGCAAGGCCCTTGAATCTTTTAAATCCATTTGTCTGCTTCCTGCCTTTTATTCTGTTAAGGTTAATTATGTTAATTCTATATACATTTTAAGCACATAAAACTTTTTTGTTGTTGTTTTATGCACTAAGTAATTACTTATACTTACCATTGTTTTTTTCTTTCTGAATTTCTGGCTTACTGGGGAAAAAGAAAATGCCTACAGTTAGGCCAGTCTTTGTCATAAGTACACCAGCCCTCCACCACTTGTCCAAGTAGTGATTATCCAGAGGTGGATAGAGATCCTATCCGGAAGACCTCAATAAGATGCCAGCCCCATGTAATGCCAGCCACAAAAATGTCAGTTCTCAAGATAAGTATTTAGAAATGTATCTGACTCCACTAAAGCCTTTGAGATGTTTTCTCTTAGAAAATATAGCTGTTTCTTACTTTATTAGATCTATCTTGGCTTGAGATTCATTTCACTTTGAAGTTTAATAATTGAGAGAAATAACTTAGGGTTCAGTTACTGATTTTTACCTAAGTAGATCTTAACCCAGATCTCACTGCTTACTATGGGTTTATATTTCCAATATTTCTTTAGCCAAATATTTTCTTTCTCTAAAGAAATAGCTCTTTTGTAGGAAGTGTTTCCATTTGGGGAAGAAGAATAGAGTGACATTTGTTCTTGGGCACAGGAAGTGTCATTACAGAATGCTTCCAACACAACTGACTGATGAAGGAGCTGCTGATAGATGGGAATTTTCTGGATGGTAGAAAAATGTGTAGTAACAAGGAGTTAATGGATTTATGATGCTGAAGAACACATCAGGTCAAGGTCTTATACTAGTTTTTAAAAAAGGAAGTTTAAAATATCAATATAGTAAATAAATATTTTCTTATGTATGACACTATTTCATAGTCACAGATTCTCTCTTGTTCTTCCCATACACTTAGCTATGTTGGAATATAGAAACAGTAATGTGGCAATAGTACTTTGGGTAAAGAATCTTCTTGTTAATATTCCTCTTATTTCCTCAAAGACGTACATTTACATTTCCAACTTGCCATAGGAGGAACAGAAGCACAGAGCACTTGTACTATGTTTAAATATAAAAGTGGGGGCATTAGAACAGTTATAACCATTTCTTGCACCATACAAACACCAAAAGGTGTTTATTTATATAATACTACATTTACTTCAGTCATTTGACTAATAACTCATATGTTATATATACTCAGAGTCATATATAATATTAGTTATATAATTCACTCATGATTTTATCTTTAATTATTTGACTCTTGGACAGGATTATCTGATGACAATGTTAGTTCTCCATTTTCTTTATTCCATGTGTATATTTTAAGAATTAAGCAACGTGCTCTATTACAGTTTGCTAACTCAAATAAGCTATTCGTTTGTTAGTTGACTATTGCCACAATAATGCTGCATAACAAACCATCCAAAATTCAGTGGCTTATACCTAGAGCATTTATTTTTGTCACCTGTGGGTCTGCAGACTGGTTTGCCTGCCTCTTTTCCAGGCTGCAGGTTAACTGTGCTTGGCTCTCGAGTTTGGGTTGGGTTCAGGTCTGTTCTACTATCTGTTCTCTCTTTCACAAGCAGTTACCCAAGGCACGAGCTCTTGGTGGGTCACAGGAATACAAAAGGCCGAGTGAAAAACACAAGCCCATTTAAGGCCTCTTTCCACTTTAAGACCACAAATATGCCATTGTCTAAACAAAGTCATATAACCAAGCTTAACATCAAGTGAATAGAATAATGCCCTCTGTTCATTCTAGTGCACAGCAACAAGAGGGACTGAATCATTAAGAGTCATCCAACCTACCACTCTATGCCAGTACACACCAGCAATTTACGGATTCTTGCTCTGGGGTTCCCTGGAGGAAGGATGTCTTTGTCTTATCACAGTAGTAGTAGTAGTAGTAGTAGTAGTAGTAGTAGTAGTAGTAGTAGTAGTATATAGTAAGTATGTATAATGGCACTTACTGTGACCATGTACCGTTATCATTCTGCCCTTATTAACTTATTAGTAACGATAGACAATTAGTGACAAAATATATAGCTTGAATTCTTAAAAATAGCATTTAGTTTTTGGAGCTGATGTAGTGATAGAATAAAGCTCAGCAACACCGTTTTCCCGAGTACAGACCTCTCACTCTTCATTGCCCCTTGCTACTTCCCGCCCAAACAACGGCAGTGTCCTCTTACTTGGTCTCCTCTCCTCCAGTCCCGTTTCTTTACACGTAAATGCTACTACCAGATACATTTTTAGATCAGACTTGACTAAAAAGTACCTTCGGTCCCTACCATGCCTCTGACCAAAAACCTTTCAAGTGGATCCCCATTATCCACAGAATAAAGCCTAAAGGTCCAATAATATAATTTGCCCTCTGTAGAATAGTCCATCCAGTTTCCCAATCTTATTTCTCATTATTCTCCTTTATGTACTCTGCTGTTTTCACTACCAGAATTGTGCTTTCCTATGCGTGTACTTAGATTCTTGTCCACTTAACCTTTGGTTATGAGGTTCTTTCAGCCTGGAATTGCCAATACCAACCCCATCTCTACATGGTCTTGTCCTATTTATCCTTCAAGGCCCAGATCAAATGTCACCTCCTCCTTGAATATTCTAGATTCTCATAGCCCAGAGTAATTTCCCCTTCTAGCAAAACTCACAAGACTTCCCAGCCTCTTTTATGGTACCTATCAGTTTCTAAATTGTGCCATCATTATTTATCTAGGTCCTATCACTGCTAATGAGCTACTATTCATCTTTTTCCCACCTCAATACTAAATATGTTTCCTTGAATATTTAAATGATATTTATTACATAAATAATTTGTTAATACCCTAAGTAATTGATCTTTCCTGCTATGCATGTCAATAAACTCAAGTGGCTTCCTTAAGTAAAAATCAGTTGACACTCAAATAAAAGCTATGCGAACTCCAATTCTTTTTTTAGTTTTCAGTCCTGTTTAATATGAAAATAATTATTAGTGATATGTAATACAGTCCTATGCAATACTTTGGTTTCAGAATAATTTTGTCCTAGATATCATCTGTGGATCTTTCAGACACTGGGCCTTTGAAAGCATTTCAGCTCCAGGAAACATCTGACTGCAAATAATCTATAGTTTGACCTGACTTGGAAGCTATGGACAGGGCAGTCTGACCTATTAAATAATGCATCTACCCTGAAAATTACTCTGTGCCTTGATACCCTTTGCATCTGAGGGCTGCTGTTGTTCATATTGCCTGCCAAGCTCCAAGTTCAAAATCTTAGTGCCCCCTAATGTTGAAATCAACCTTTTCACTGTTAACAGCTAATTAAATGGGATGAGAAAAATAGGCGAAGAAGGCCTTTCACAGTGAAACTTAACTTTGGAATTTGTAATGGTATATATCTGTATAGAATGCAAGTTTTATGAACATTACTTTGAGCACCTAGTTTTGAGCTTAACTCATTTTCACTGTTGTTTTTGAAATTGTTAGTAAATTTTTCTTCCTTTTATGCCCTCCTTAACATCATTTCTGAGGTATCGGCTTAGGCTGTGGAGTGGACAAAATGAAATCTAATGTTCTGAGGATTTTCCATATTTTCTTTTTCATAGTGGACAATTTAGTCATCATGAAAGTATTTTTTATCTCTCTTTTTTATTTCTCTTTTTGTTATGAATTTCAAAGTTTTTATTGCAAAGTAGATTTTTTTCTTCAATAAAGGTCTTCTTTAGCTTTCCTTTCTTTTTGGAAAAGAAAAAAATCAGATAGAGAGCGTGATGTAATACAAACTGGACTGCAGTGTTAAATGCCTCTCAACCTCTTTCTAATAGATTATTTCATTAAAGATTTGTTGGAAGACAGTTTTCTTGCTGGGTAAATTCTTCCTAAATTTAGTTTTCAATAGGATAGTGTTCATAAAAACAGAACATCAAAGTAAAACATGTTCACAGTTTCCACCAGTTTTATCATGCAAAATATTTTCTTTCTATAAAATTAAATTTCTCGAGGATAAAAAAGCTTCAATAAATCACATCAGCAGTTCTAAAAATGCACATAGAACAAATCTGGTTATTCATTTTTCTAGATAACTACGTGTGAGCGAGAAGAAGGGGGCTGAGGGGTTAGGGAGAGGAGTGGAAAAGAAACACCGAGGCGAGTAGAAACAACACTGCCTGCGCCCCCCGACGCTCAGCGAACAACCTGATGATGTTTATGATGTGTGGGAGAAAATAGAAACGATGTGATTTTTAAAAGCCTCCATGTAAAACTTAAGATCTGTTCTCTTTGGTGTGCCTAGTGATGTGTCTTTTGTTTGTTTGTTTTATTATTTTTTGTCTTTTTTTCCTTCCCTAACAAGTCTATTGAGAGTATCTCCTAAGATACTCTTTAAAAATATTTTTTTTTCAATTACAGTTGACATACAGTATTATATTAGTTTCAGGTGTATGTGTCTTTGTTTTAACACAGGACCTCGGCAAGGTTGTGGCGGCTATCTGACAGGTTCAAATTACACCTTTGCCTCTCCCGATTCTGATTCAGATGGAAGATATGACAAGTACTTAAACTGCATATGGTTCATAATTGCACCTGTAAACAAACAAATTAAACTCACCTTCAATACATTTGCTCTGGAGTCAGCATCTATTTTTCAAAGATGCATTTATGATTATGTAAAGGTAAGGCTATTATTATATTTCTTAACCGAGTCTTCTAATACAGACTTTTATGTGGCATACTACACTTTATACACTTTATAGGAAGTCGTGAAAATTGTGAGTATTACTAATATTTAAAATGATCCATTCTTCAATGAGGTAATGTATAATATTACAGATGCTCTATCTTCATATCAAATTAATCTTTTATATGGATGACTCAAAAACTCTGTGTGGCTTCTAACATTAGTTTTAGAATTTACTGTTCATCCATGCCTTGTCAAGAGATGTTTTGTGGGAACATGGATACTTACAGGGCTTTTGGCAAATCCTCTATATAAATAATCACCCCTTAATTTATCTATTTTTAAAGTTTATATATTTATTTTTCATATTACCTTTAGATGTGGGAATATCTTAGTTCTAAGGTCTCATTAAAAATAAATCAAGAGACTTTTCTGCTCAATTTTTAATGACTCTTTAATATTAAATTATTGTACCTATCAGGCTATATGAATTTAAAGTTTTAAATAGTATCAAGCAATATATATTACTACATTCTTGGATGTGAGGGAGGGAAACAATGAGTATGGCAAGGTTTCTGACCATGAGAAGGTTAAATCAGATTACAAAATTAAGAGATGGCAAATCAACGATAAGCAATTCAGGATAGTCACTATTTAAGTGCCGACTAATGCATTGGATACAGACTTGAAGCAATGTGCAAGTTGAAAAGAGAGGAAAGTTCCTGATAGTCTAGCGTGAACAAGAAAGCCTTCAGAGAGTGAGAGAAAGCTTATTCAAGCCAGGAGAGAAGACGTTCTAGGCTCGGTGAGCATAAGAAGAGGCATGAACGTTGGTGTGCGTGTTCCTTAAAGGGTGAAGAGACTGGCCTGATTCAAGTAGAACATAACTAAAGAGTAGCAAGAAGTGAGAATATCTAAGTGAAAAATACCCAGATTATAGAGGCTCTTGAAACAAACTAATGATTTAGATTTGATTCACTTGAAAACAAAGAGTGATTGTGGGATTTCTAAGGAGTGACATTCCGAGAGCGGAACTGAAGGCCAGCCGGGCTGGAAGTCGGGGTGGACTGTCAGGGGAGGGTCTGGAGTTCAGACCACAAGGGGAGGTTACTGTTATGTAAGGAGGGCGCAGAGAGGGTGGGGCCGACAAACCTGGAGCAAGAGAAACTTTTAAGTCCAAAAATTGTGTTAACTTTTAAAGAAATGTTTTTTGTTTTTTGGTTTTTGGGTTTTTTTTAAGGCAGCGGAGGAAAAGTCATAGATGGAATACACACTTGATTATATACTGTCTTTATTTTCACTACGATAAGCACCACGCCTAGGAGAGCAGGAGAATGTCAGCGCTATTAGGGGGAGACCTGCCTTTGAGAGGGATTGGTCCAGGCTGGGTGAGAGCAGGGCAGACAAAGGGCATTGTCCGTGGGCAGAGGAAGGAGTGGAGCTCCAGCAGGAAGACAGCACGAATAGAAAGGAGACAGCAAAAGGGCACACACACCTTTTAGAGAAATGGTGCTTTCTTTGAGGGGGGACAGCCTGGAGCTAGAAAGCCAGGGTCCCACTCAACTCCAGGAAAGGTTCACAGTGAAGCAGTTGGAGAACAAAAGAAACATGAGTCATGAAAAACAAAAACAAAAACAAAAGACAAAACAAAAACCACAGGAATAATGCAGTGTCACTGAAGTCAAGAGAGAGAGTCTTTGACCAATGATGGGTGGTCAATACTATTAAATTGTAAATTAGAGGCCAAGAAAGGTTAAGATAAAGAAAAACTCACAGACTGGATGGCAACCATTTAAATAAAGTATTGACATAGAAGCTGGATAAGAAGGAGTTCATGAAAAATTAGAGATAACGAGAAATGTCTGTTCAGGTTGAATCCTTCTTTCCTAAAATTAGACCAAAATGGCCAGAGCAGCAGTAAAGCTGAGGTTTAAGACCCTTTGAGAGTTACTGATTTTACAGAAAGGTAATGAGTTTCAGAGACAGATAAGATGGACTCAAACCCAATTTTGCCACCTCACAAATTTCCATGTGCACCTGATGCCTTACCGCTGCATCTATTAAAAAACAAACAAAAGATCCCAGAATCCTTGCAAGGCTGTTTTGAGAATAAAGATAATATATGCTCGTATTCAGCACTGTGACTGGAGTATAATTTGTAAACAGATTTCTTTATTTTTCCCCTTTGTGTAATTCCAGATGGGTATGAAGTCTGTGCAATCTTTTCTTAAAATATTAAAAATAATTGATTTATGTATACATTATTACAAATATAAATTCATGTGGGGTGCTGCTGGTAGGGTTTATAAGATTTTTTTCTCAAGATCCATTTCTGTGAGCATGATTTGATGATGTCATTAAAACAAGTAGTGATTTTCTGAATTTCCTCAATATTTAGCAATATCGAAAACAAGGAGTTATTTTCTAGCTTCAAAATAAACTTTCCTTCTTGTAAAAAAAGAAATTCTATTCAGATCTACTCTTATTTTCTTTCTTGGGAAAGCAATTTCCCTCACTTGCCAACCTTTTCAACTTATACCAAATTGGCAGATCAAAGAACAGTCCTTGGAGTGGGAAGCCTGGAGGTATCGTTATTAAAGAGATTCTCTGTGATAAATGGGACATTTGATTCCTTTTAGATTGTTTCTTAGATATTATAATCAAATCACTTTTTAGAAAAGCTAATTTAATTTAATTTTGCTGTTAGATATAGAAGTGAAAACTAGCCGATTCCATTATTCAATCATAATTATATCACTATTGTTTTTGAAAGGGTTGACTTGGAAAGTTATTGAGGTACATAGTGAATTGTGTATTTCACTGACTGGTCGCTGTGGCAATTAACATCCCATCCATCCCATAAAGAGTCATGTGGCATAATTTCTTGCTGCACATTGTACCCCGAACTAGAGATGTGGAGTTAAAATGCAGTTCCTCAAGAAGTTATAGAGTGAGAAGACCGACATGTAAGCTTGTAAATGGTTATACAACTTGACAAAAATGATAAATATGAACAACATAGAATAGTAGAACAGAAGAGAATGGTTGACCTCATTTTGGGGTCAGGAAAAGGCTTCCTAGATGGGACTGCTGAGTGGGGCTTTAGAGAAGCACCACAGAGCATGCTTCCTGTGGGAGGCTGGCTATCATGGAGACGGAAGTGTGGGGGCTGCAAGCTACAGAGAGAGCACCCAGCTTCTTGACACCAGTTTGTAATGACTTAAGTCACTCCTCCGTGGTGAGCAGTGAGTGAATGGTAGAGAGGGCTCAGAACTGGGACCCTAACTGACTGACGTTCCTCTGCTAGGAAGTATGGAGCTACCACAAGAGAGACGGCCCCTTCTTAATGTTTTTCAGCTCCTCCTCAGCGCAGTCAGTGCCTGAGGACATAGAGTGAAACTTCCATTTGCAGAACTGTCCTGTGAGTTGTAGGATGGATTCTGCCATATGGCTTCTAAAAACTAAATGCCACTTATAGCCTCATATCATGGTGATGACCAAAAAATATCACACTTTTACAAAACACTCCCTAGACAATAGCACTGTCCCCATCAAGAACATGGATCTTAACCCCTGAGCTCAGCTATTCAGTCTGTGGTCAGCCTCTAGGAGGAGGGGCTGTCCATCTCTGGGGAGGAGATAGGCAATTTATTGAGGCTTCGGGTTCGTTTTCTTATGAGGTATTACCTACTATCCATTCATTCATTCGTTCATTCATTTATCCAATAAATGTTCATTTGAGCACTCATTACCCTCCAGACACCACTCCAAGTACTGGAAAAGAACACAGAGATACAATTAAATAATAATAATAATAATAATAATAATAATAATAATAAATTCCTGTGTCTGAATTGATTCTAATCATTGCTTCTTATTGCTCTTCTTAAAACTGCTGGCACCAGTATAACCTTTTCCCCAGAGGATTCTGAAATGAATCAACCCCAGACCTGGAAAACCATTCTTTGTTCTCTCTTCCATCCCAAACTATGCCCAGGCATGTTGTCCAGTGGACTCTAACAGAGGCTCCTCAATAAAATCAAAGACTTCATGAAGATACTCTAAGATGCAATGTAGAGAGTTTCCAAAAAGAATATAAAAATCTTCCTGTTGTCAAATTTCCAGGGAAATATTTAAAGATAAAGTCTTAAGGAAATTAATTCTTTTCAAATTTAATAATTTTAGACATTAATTTCCTTAAGACTTTATCTTTAAAGTTTAATACCAAAGTATGTTGCCTTTTTGCAGTAAAAGTTCTTAGAAATTAAAATCCAAACATTTCCTTCCCCATTTTCCTCTACTGCTCAAATTAATGGTTGGGGAAAGTACAGGATCTTGCAGTAGTTGTAATCGGAGGCTGTCTTCCACTAAATTACTTGTATAATTTCTTGAGAATCTTAAGTAGATTATAACATGCTCCACTACTAAAGAATTTTAAAAACTGAAAAATCACAAAATTCTCAGTATTTATCTGTGTCTAGAAAACTTAGAACGTAATTCAAGCTCCAGGTCTGAAGTAGTCATGCCGGACAGCACGTGCCGGCAGGATGCAAAATGTAGCAGCAAGTGATGGTGCGGGGTCTTCGGGGCACAGTCCTGAGGTCACCGTTTATGTCTTGTTCATATGATCCCCATCTCCAGCATCGTTGGCAGCGCACCTGCCGCCCACACCGAGGCCCCCTGCATAAGTCCAGGGTGGGGATTTGACATTATCGGGGTGTGTGAGAGCAGATAGAAAACCTTGGCTTTGGCCACATTGGGGTCCAGGAGCCCATGTCCGTCGTCCAGAGGCCTCAGCTAGTCTATGTCAACTCAGTCAAGGGTAATCATATGGCAGCAGTGAATGAACGAATGCGAACACCAGCTCGAGGCTGGGCACCATGTCGTTCCCTTCCTTCACCTTCAGCGGTCATCTGTCCGCAGCCCAAATCCGATCTGATGACTCCCACAGCAGATGATGCAAACAGCTTTACGGGAAATGCGTGGCGCTTCACAGTCTTGCCCCGATGTACTTTCCCAATCCGGCTTCTCCTGGTCTTTCACCCTGATCTCTAGGGACCTCAAGGGTGGGGGCGCTGTGGAGGCGGGTCAGCTTTATACACCCCTTGGCCTTCCCCGTTGTGCTCTGTCTGGTTGGGGTGCAGTTCATCTTCTGTGGGTCTGGAAGGTCTCCCCTGACTTTTAAATACTGGTTCAAAATCTGTGAGAGATCTTTCCTGCCTCCATCATCTGGGTCCCCCTGCTACATTTAATTTTTTTATTGTAGCACTTATTTTTCTTCATTTTATATATAATTTACACATATATATATATGTTTAATTTATGGATTTCTTTCTCTCGCTAGTTTGTGAGTGTGAGATTAGTCTCTTGAATGTATGAAAAGTGCTTTATACATCGTTGTATACATAGGGCCTAGCACAGAGGCCTGGCACACAGTACATGGAATAAAAAGGCTTGCTAATGTGAATGTGCTGATAAAAGCAGCAATGATTATAATAAAACTTTAACTTGCTTACCAGAAAAAGAACATTACCTAAAACTTGGCCAGTCTAGTCTTTTGCCAAATGAGGGGATAGATTACCCAACTCCTGAGTCTCTTCTGGCTCTAACTTTCCCGAAATCATATTTAAACTGGAGAGACAGCGCCATCTAGTGGTAAATTTAATTTATTTTTTCTGTTTATTATGAAATTATTTATTTTACATATTTCTAACATTTTAAAATAACATCAGTGGTCATGGCTATTCGGAAGTTTATACATACCATGGTCTTGTTATAAATTCAATACCTGGATCTATGCACAGATGCTCGTTTTAGAAATACCATGCAGATTATGCAACTGGAGAAAACTCTTGTTTTCTAGTAATGTGTTTGAGAGAAACCCAAGTGTCCACTATTTGAACAGGCATTCGTCAGAGGCTCCTATAGCCAGGACTTATTCTGGGTGCTAACAATCAGGCTTCCCACCCATACCATCTACACTCTTGCTGGGAGAGAGACCAGAAAAAAGTAAATAAGCAATGAATAAGAAACATTTTGATTAGAATACGAAAATACAACAGGAAGATGGTTGGGTTGGGCTCTCAGGAGGGGGCATTTGAGCTGAGATCCTATGGCAGGAGAAATGGTCCGTGTCAGAGCTGGGGAGAGAGCACTTCCAGCAGGAGCGGCTGTGAGCACAGGCCTGGACCGGGGGGCTCATCCTGGAAGCAGGGGAGTGGGCGTGGGGCTGGGGGCAGGCCCAGACCAGACCAGCTAGGGGCTTGCAGGCCACCTTAAACAGTTGGAGTTTAACTTAAGGTGCAGTGGGAACCCACTGGAGCATTTTAGACAGAGCAGGAGCATAATCTGATTTACGTTTGCAAACAGTCAGGCAGCTCGGTGGAGAATCCTGTGGCTGCTCTGTGGAAACAAAGCTATCGGGAAGATGTTACGGGGATAAAGGTGAAGGACGATGGTGGTAGTGATGGAGACGGAACCCTCTGGGGTCGATTTTGAAGTCAGAGTAGAAGAGATGTGGCGTGAAAGAAGAGAGAAAGAGGAATCAAGGCTGACCAAAGTTTTAGGCTTGAGCCGCTTACTGATATAAAGAAGACTGGGGGAGAACAGGTTTGGGTCATGGGAGAGAGGAATCACAGTGTTTCATTTATTAGATATTTATCGAGTGCCTCTTATGTGCCAGAGACTCTTCTAAACATGAGACATAGCAGTTAACAGAGCAGACGCAACTCTGTGCTTTCACAGACTCTGCATTCTCTCCAGAAGACAATAACCTGAGTAATACGGACGGTAGGTAGAGGTAACGCATGTGCTGAAGGAAATACAAGGCAGGAAAGGAGAAAGGGAATGATGGGAGCAGTTACGTTATAAGTAGGGTGTCAGGGAAGGCCTCCCGAGTCAATGATATTTGAGTGTCATGGGAACGAAGGGGAATGAAGGGGGACAGGCCACGTGGGAATGGAGGAGAAGAGCATTCTGGGCAAAGGGAACAGGAAACGCAATGGCCGTGAAGCAGGAGTGTGCCCGGTTTGGTCGAGGAGCAGAGAGAACAAAGTGGAGACAGTAAGATGTCAGACCAGGTGAGGTCAGCGCGGGGAGCGGAGAGTAGACTCTTGGCCTGGCGTTTACACTGAGCGGACGGGAGGCAGTTAGGAGGGTTCTTAGCAGAGCACTGACCTGGGCCGACTTACGCGTCAACTGTTTACTCTGGCTGACATGTTGAGGACAAGCTAAAGAGGGACAAGGGTGAAACTGAGGAGCCCCGTGGGGAGGCTGCAGTGACAACCCAGGCCACGATGACCATGGCTTAGACCAGCGTGGCCGTGGGAGGGGAGGTGAAGATAGTGATAGGCTTGCTCACTGTAATGATGCGTTATTTTAGAAATCGTATAGGATTTTCACACTGAGAAAAAGAATTAGGCAGCGTACCAGGTTTTTACTGAAAATCATTATAATACAATCGATTCAATAACAATTCTGTTCCTAAGTTAAAACTAGCTCAGGAATATCAATGGAAGATTCTTAATCTTGAACTATTGTGACTTCAGGTCTATTTTAGTGTAAACTATGAATCTTCCTTGTGAATAATGGAGAACTAATGACCTATTTTTCTTTGCAGATATATGACGGGGACAGTGAAAAAGCCAACTTGGCTGGAACATTTTGTGGTTCCACCGTACCTGCTCCCTTTCTCTCTTCTGGTAACTTCCTGACAGTTCAATTTGTCAGTGACGTCACTGTAGAAAGGGAAGGATTTAATGCTACCTATACCATCGTTGACAGTGAGTAAACTGAGACGTTTTTAAATATTATGAAACGTGTATTAATGCACTAAAAATAATGCCAGGTTTATATCTAAACTCAATGTTAATTACTAAAGTCAATGTTAATTACCACCTAAGCTCAATGTCAATTACTAAGCACCATGTTAATTATTCTGTTTAATCCGTGATATGAATTTAGTACAATTCTTAGTCAAGAATATATACCCTAAAACCTCCACACAATGATGTAAATATAGCTCCTTTGGGCTGGAAGGGCAGGGAAGGCAGAATTTTAAATATTGTGTATGTGAGATGAGACATATTATTCTCTTTCCCCATCTCAGTGACTTGTGGTGGAACATATAATGCCACTTGGAGCCCACAAAACATTTCGTCACCCATTTCATCCCACCCAGATGTCCCGTTTTCCACCTGTACTTGGGTTTTTGAAGCCCTTCCACATCATCAGGTCGAGATATCTGTGTGGATGTTACAGCTGCACTCGCAAGACTGCCACCAGAATTACTTAGAGTTCCAGGACTCACCACAGGTAATAATCACAGGATGAATGACAGTCACAGCTAGTGACCTTTTTGCCAGAACCTGAAAAACACTCGAAGTAATGAAATGAATTGTCAGAATTACTTCTAGCTTAATATCTTTTTCAGCAATACTAGCAATATGCAGATCCTCTCTTTGGGTGTTAAAAAACTTGAACTTATTCCTTAGGTCAGGAGCTCTCAAACTTGCACGTGCATTAGAAACACCTGAGTGTCTTGATGCACATGCGTACGCTGGGCCCCACCTTCGAAGACTGAGCCCTCCACATAGCACCCATTACTGTGCATTTTCAATAGGCATCTCTGGTGCTTCATGGGCCACGCTTGGAGAAACACTTCTATTGTTAGTGGCATCTATGTATAGGTTGAGTTGAAGGGGTCAACGCAGAACGCACAGAAATTAATTAGGCCATTTGGCCCCAGTCCAGTGGGACTAAACCCATGGTAATATAAGAGAGAGAGGGGGAAAAAAAGCTGTTTTGGTTAAAAAAAATGATGAGTCCAAATTGCCCATGGGATAAGATATTAAGGAGACAGTCGGACATAAAAGCGTGATACTGATAGGCAGCCTGAAGATTCGGTCGTCACCATCATATGAATCGGTAGGTAAAAAATGAGAGTAATGAGATTATCCAGGGAGCCATGAACCGAGGACGGCTACCTGTGGGGACACCTGGGTGTCTCTCTGCTCTTTGAGGACCAAGGAACTGACCCAGTTCACTTTAGGGGCATCATACTCCAACCCCCACATGCTGGCAGTGAAAGAGAATCCAGTCTACCGCTTTCTGAGTTTTCAAGTTCTCCTCATTGTCCAGAGTCCCCTGTTTTGCACGTGTATCTTGGGATGGGAAGTAGAAAAATCCAGTTTGGCTGAGTCCAGCGTGGAGCGAGGTTTGAGAAGGGCTGGCTGCTGAGTAGACACTGGATTTGCTGAATGATTACAGAGCCGAGACCCTGAGGTGCATGCCATGCTCCCAGGGAGAGGGCAGGGCGCGAGGTCATCGTCATTCCGTTGGTTCTCAGGATGCGCTTCTTAGTCCCCGGTGGTACGCTTCCCGGAAGGACTTAGAGCCGTGTGGAACAAAGCCTTCGGCTAAAGCTCCTTTGCTTTCCCACTGCCTCATGAAGCCAGGACAATGGGGATCAGGACAGACTGCCATCTGGGGGCAGACGTGCTGCTTACAGGGGACCAGGCAGCTCTGGACCATAATGGCAGCTAGATTGGCCTCAAATCAGACCCAGTGTTTGTCACGAACGAATAATATCCTTCAGTTGAATGAATAAAGAAAAGAACAAGGGTTTCAGCCCGAGTGGGAGGAAAGATAAGAAATTGATTGATAACTGACGGAAACGGGAAACGCAAAGGTGTTCAAGAGTAGAGACAGAAGACATAGTTGGAAGAAGCATGTGGTGGAGGCATTGTAGGTGATGAAAAGGTCTGTCTGGGGAGCTTGCATCGTGGCAGGCACCACAGAGAGTAGAGGTGAAAGTCACTGGTGTTGAAGAATACAAATTAGGATGTTCAATAGGTCGTCTGTGAAAACGCTGAAACCTCTAAGGGTTCAGAGAGTGACTCTGGGCTAAGACACCACAAGTCTTTAATTAAGGAAGGGAAGTAACCAGAGAGAAAGTAAGTGGAGATGATGAGAAGGGTCGAAGCGTATCTCTGGCCTGCTGTAGAGACCCTCAAAGGAGCGCTGGCTTTGATGCAAGGATAGAGGCCACAGTGAGCAACCCGGGAATCCCTGCCCCGTGCCCCCCACCCCGCCCGGGCCCATTCCTACTCAAGGAACTGTGGAGTCTGAGGAACGAATGGCCTGCACCAGGAGAAGCAGTTTCACACAAGGCCACAAAGTGGATGTATCCAGGGGTGGTTAACGCTGCAGTTCAAGTTCAGAGGGCTACAGCAGGCATGGGTAAGAGAGGACCAACAGCAGGAGATAGTGTGAGACAGAAGCACAGACGAGTTCCGGGGGTTCGCCAGCAGGAGTGGGGAGTGGGCCTCTCAGGAGGTGCTAGGTATTAGAGGCGTATGTGTGTGTGAAAGGCAGCAGGTGTCCTAACTTTGGCACGAGCTGTCTTTATGCAAGGATAGAGGGGTTGGACCACATTTATTCTATCCTCTTGAGAGGGGATGAGGGCTGCCAAGTTTCACAAAAGGAGACAGGGACCTCATTACAGGCGTGAGCTCCCCCGTGGGATTCACCTCAGTGCCGACGGCTCTGGCTAGGTCTGTGACAGGTAGCGAAAGCTGGAGCAGTGTCAGGTCGCCGTTTGACCTTCCGGATTCTGGAGAACCCCAGTAGCAGAGCTGCAGCTCCAACAGTCGGATGTGCTCAGAGCAAGGGCACAGGCTTTGGCTGTGAAGGAGGAGAAGGCTCTTGTTTTCGGGAGGCAAATGTCTGTCTCGTGGTTTCAGTAGAAACTTGGCCTCCCTGCCTCCTGTTCGTTTCATTGAATGTGAAACGTTTGTATATCCCAAGACCAAGGTGAGTCTCGTTGCCAAGGGCTTCAAACACTATACATAGTTTCCAGTACGCTGAATATTTAAGCGTACTGTTACATGCAGTTTAATTTCCACTATGGCCTATTCTCTTTTGAAATGAAATCTAATGTGATTTGGCTTCCATTTCATTTCAGGATAATAGAAATCCAGGAACTCGCTTTTGTGGCAGAAACGCTTCAGCCGTACCCACGTTTTATTCTTCTACGAGAACCGCAATTGCCTTTTTCAAATCCGAAGTTTTTAATGAAAACTCTAGAGTGGGTTTTACCTATCAGATTGCAGGTGAGCCCTGGAGCTTTATGTTTGTTCAAGAAATCCGCCATTGTTACAGTTATTGCTGGAATGAACTCCTCTGAGTAAATTAGAGTTTGTTAATCCACAGGTGGGTTCTGAAGAGCTAAAGTGAATATCATACTAAAATGTTTAGAATGTTAGCATATCCTTCAAAGTTCATGTGTCTTCTTTAAAGTTCATTCAAAAATAGACAAGTTATTTTATCAATTATCCACTTGACCACGTAAAGAAATTACTATATCTTAGGAAATTATTTTGTAAAAACCAAGAAGCTTTGAAAGCGTTATTTGATTACTGAAACTGAGACATTTATTTCCAGAGACCACTTTATGTAATGTTCTTTTCAAACTTGATTAAAACTAACGCGGCCTTTGATTAAAACAAATAAAAACACGCTGGGTATTTTTTTTTTTTTTTTGCCAGAAATGGTAAAGAACAATTTGCCAGTTCTATGAGAACAAATAATGCATCAAAATATTTACAGGGAAATCCTAAGACAAGATTCTGTGTTGGAGGTAGAGACTTTATGCCTTACTAAAGGGTCTAATTGTCAGCCAGCTCCACCTCACAGCGGTCAGAAAAGTACGGAGAATGCCAGAATGTTCGCCTTCAAAGCAGAATGCTCCTGCTCCCCGTTTCCCGTACGGGTGTTTCACGTTAGCCAGGCAGGCACTGCCCTGCATTTGCCCACGTGCCGTCTACCCCACCTCCTGGAATCCCGGTGATCTCAAAGGCAAACGGAGAGGCTGGGTTAGCTTTTTTCTAAAGTTCGTTCGGATTTACTCATCTCTTTGAATTATTCCTGTCAGGTTGAAAGAACACTGAATATTGGGACACGTACATTAATTATGTTTTTTTTTTTCCTCTAAGATTGCAACAGAGCATATAATAAGGCATTTGGCAACCTGAAGAGTCCTGGGTGGCCGGATAATTATAACAATAACTTGGATTGCACTGTTACTCTCACGGCCCCACAGAACCACACTATTTCCCTCTTCTTCCATTCATTTGACATTGAGGACTCAAGCGAATGCAGACATGATTTCTTGGAGGTAACGTACATTTGGATATCATGTGGATGAGCTATTTAAAAGGTGATGATGGATCTTCAGATTTTTCACCTTTTGCTTTGCTACCGTTAATCATATACCCCTTACTCATTTCATTAACTTATCCATTATTCTTTCAGTCCATAAATACTTACCAAGCATCTTCTAGGTCCAGGCGCCAAAGGAGCAAGACATATTCAGGGCCCCCAGGAGGTTCATCGTCCCGCGAGAAAGACAGACGGGACATAGCCAACTCCCATGCAGTGTGGGAGGGACGAACAGAGTCAGTCTGGGGACAGAGATGGCTTCTTGAAGGAAGTGCCGTGCGAGTTCAGCCTGGACGAGCCAGAGGGAAGTCCAGGGGCAAAGCACCGATTTTGGAGGTGGACGATGGCACTGACTTTAAGAAGCGTGCTTTGCGAGGAAATAAGCATGAAACCAAATGCTACCAAATCATTCGCCTAATTTCCCCGACGCCACAGCGGGGAGAGTGTTTCCTTGGCGAAGCGTTCAGAGGAAGCGGGGGTGCGCTGTTCCTTCCTCTTCAGCACCATGGAGAGCTCTAGACAAGACAAGGAGGCAACCTTGCAGTTTGCCGTCCTCCTCCTACCCACCCTCCGCTCTGTCCCCAAACACACCAGGAGAGAAACCGGCTGAGCCTGGAGCCAGCAGGGCCGTGCTGCCAGAGAGCTTGCACCTTTGTGACCCCCGGGGCCACCAGCAAAGCTCCCTGTGCGTCCTTTCTGCCCGACTTGGCGTCCGCTATTCAAGTGAGAAGGAGAGTTGTGTATTATTGTTCACAGAAGATGTTCTAAATGAGCCCATGAGTGACACAGATGGCGTGTAGAACTCAGCCTCTGTTTGGCCATAAAGATCCAGAGCCCGCCTGGGCGTCCTTTGCAAACTCTGGTGGAAATGAATTCATTCTTCAGAAACAGAGGTTCAACATAACACTGGTATAAGCCGAGAATGCTGAATCCCTCTGTGGACGAATATGAATCTAAACCTTACCTGAAGCCCGCCAAACGGGCTTTGTTTCATGTACGCCCGCATCTTCGGTGAGGCTTCCGAAAAGCCGATTGCTCCTCTCCACCTGTTACGCAGTTTTATCTTTCGGGAAAGCACTCCCCGATAGAATTCATCAAAGATCTTTGTTGATGGATATTCTTAACCTATAGTGTAACAAGTACTGGGAGAAAGCTCATGCCTCTTTTATGGGAAACACTTGTTGTGGTAGGAAACTGGGAGGAGATGGATGTAGCAGGGAGGAGATGAGGAGAGAAATACAGGTCATTTGTGTCAATCAGGGTATTAAACTCAGACCTATGTACCTCGCCCACCACGGAGTCTAAAAATGTTTATGAAGTGCTAAGCAGATACAGGGGAAGGAGTCGGTTATAGAGAAGGGACAGAAATATCCCATCAGTTCAGAGTTCCTCTGCAGCTACTCCTAGGTCATCTCAAGCCTGAGCGACAGGAGTTAACATTTGCCATTTACCTCTAGATGCTAGGAGTGAAGGCCAGCTCTCCAGAATTGAAGAGTGAGAACTTACCTCCGTGGTCCTTCCTTATCCCGTAGAAATGGGTCGAAAACTTCCTGTCCAATCAGCAAAGACAGGAAACTACAACTTAGGCCCGTCACGTGCACTGCATCTGGTTCTCGGTGGGAAGACCGTGGCATGGTTTATATGGCAGCCACACCGGCAAGACTCAGCGTTTCATCCACGTTAACTGTGGCAGGAATGGAAATTTCTAATGGAGGATTCCAACTGTCAGTATATCACGCAAAGGCCAAGCCCCAGATCACATCTGGAATCTGCATTTGTCTTCAGAACCTCAGAACCCAGTCAGGGTCCTCTGACATCCCAGAGATGTCTACCGCTCTCTTGGTTCCTGTGAAGAGAAAAATGAATAGAACAAGTCGTGAGCATGCTCAGTGGGAATTAATATCTCACTTTTCTTCTCAGAGCATCAGCTTTCTAAAAGAAAATCTATAGGAAAAAGACCCGAAGCCAAGAGTGTAGATAACTAGCTACTCCTCCCATGCAAGGCCACTTTGTGTAAACACCTAGCAGAGGACTCCGAAAAGCACCGGGAAGGCATTATTCCCTGGACAGCGTTTCTTTCACACATGTCAGGAGTGGATGTTGGGGTCAGGCTGGTCGGGACAGCATGGTCGGAGGACGGATCGCGGCCAAGTTCACAGCGTGGTCACCCGCACACACACGCACTGACTCAATTCCTGTTTTTAGATGTGTCTATTCTGTACAGTGAATTAAAAAAAAAAAAAAAACCTATTCAGCTACAGAATGTTTTTAAAATATTTCTAAAACTCAGAAGTTTTATAGATTTATCGAGTTGTATCCATACAGAAATTCCTTGTTTGAACCTTATGACATTTTATTATATGTTAATGGCGAGCAATGAATGATAAATCGGAGAAGAAGGGATGACGCGCTGAAGTATAATAATTTGTGACTCGTTGTTGAAGGTAAGAAACGGAAGTGACAGCAGTTCACCGTTACTGGGCACATACTGTGGAACTCTGCTGCCAAATCCGATCTTCTCTCAGAATAATGAGCTCTACCTACGATTTAAGAGCGATGGCGCAACTTCCCGTCGTGGGTACGAGATTATCTGGACCTCATCGCCCTCCGGTAAGACACTTACTTGTACTTTGAAAGGCAAAGCAATGTAAGTGAGAAGAACATAAGGCGTCTAATAGAAAAAGGCCATGCAAAGTGACCTGATCTTTTTAGCCATCTGTCTACTCAATTCTTTTCTGATTAAAATAGAGATTTTTTTTTAACAATGAAAATACAGAGATTCTTTTTAATTTTACTTTTACTCACCGTTTCTATAACTATTTTTAAAGAATATACATTTACATGTAAATACAGATAAGAGACTATAACGCTTTTAAAAGTCATTTATGAATTCTGATTTTGTCACATTTTTACCTTTTGGTTTGATCATCAAGGTAGTTCTCTGAGAATTAAAAAAAAAAGGTTTAGCAGAAGGCGCGTTACTAACACATTCTCGTGCGTATGCGAGCAGCGGAGCTCTATGCAATCCCTTTTGTTTCTTGGCAGTCCTGGAGCTTAATTGCTTTTTTTAGGACAGTAAGTTTCTTCCTGCATTTTTGGTTGGTTGTTTGTCAAGTAACTCAAGGCAGGTTAAGTCATGTCAATACCTTTAACTCAAGAGAGGAAGAATATCTTTATGAAACATCCTCAAAAACACCTAAAAAGTTTCAAAATAAGAATAATAAAAATGATTCATTTAAAATGGGCTGAGAAACAAAAGGGTTCTATCAAGACAATCATAGATAATGAAATCTTGGCACCTAAAGATGCTTAAACGGTAATCTCCAATGCCCTCATTTTACAGATGAAGAAATAAGACACCAAATTAATGTGTTGCCCAAAATGTACAGCTAGATTGTGGCAGAGGCTGGACTAGACACCAGTGCTCAGCCAGCCAGCCCAGACTTTCTTCCTGTTTTCCTTGTGCTTTCGTCCCGTGCAATACCATGTCTGGAACCCCAGGGCTATATGGTCTAAATAATGACAGTTGTCGTACACAAATTAGCAAACTGAGCAAGTTGACACCAACACTTAAAGAGCTTTGGCTGGAAGTATGGCAGTCCTGGAACTGTCCATTATAAGCCTGGTAAAGTCAGTATGATGATAATGCTTACTGACGAAACCTCCGATAACACGCTTCTGTTTGTTCAGCCCTGGAATTTCACTTTACATTTTACTTTACCCACGTCATCATCGACTCACTGCTTGCAGCTCTACACCATCAGACGTATATAACAACTTTACTCTCCTACAGTTACTTTACCCAGGTCTTGTTTTTTCCCATGGTGTTTTCCACCCAGCATTTTCACATTACTGACGAAACCTCCGATAACACGCTTCTGTTTGTTCAGCCCTGGAATTTCACTTTTCATTTTACTTTACCCACGTCATCATCGACTCACTGCTTGCAGCTCTACACCATCAGACGTATATAACAACTTTACTCTCCTACAGTTACTTTACCCAGGTCTTGGTTTTTCCCATGGCGTTTTCCGCCCAGCATTTTCACGGAACAGACCCTGAGGAAGTTGTCCCTAAGTCATGACATGCAGGGAAAGGAATATGTGGTGGAGGAGGGTTTTTTGGGGGGAGGGAGTGGGAGGGATTTCCCCCAAAGAAGGAACAGGAAAAGGGTTCTTGCCTCCAGAATTCTTGCAGATCTCAGCATCTTAAGAAAACGACAACCTTCTTCGTGCCGTACAAGCACACCAAAGCACGCGGGCTGGTTTCTTACTTTGTTGAATGAAATTTCCTGCAATTATTTCTCACGCAGGCTGTGGTGGAACTCTTTACGGAGACAGCGGCTCGTTCACCAGCCCCGGCTATCCGGGCACTTACCCAAACCACACTCACTGCGAATGGGCCATCATTGCTCCATCTGGAAGGCTTGTCACCGTCAGCTTTTACTTTATCAGCATTGACGATCCCGGAGACTGTGTCCAGAACTATCTCATACTCTTCGATGGACCAGATGTTAATTCTCCATCCTCTGGACCGTATTGCGGAGCAGTGAGTAACACAGATTTTTTGAATTTCCATATATTATGTTTAAATAGTGAAAGTAACAGTATATACTTTTAAAGGCAGACACAGGCAAAATACAAAGCACAATGCACTTTTACAAATTCGGTACCGTTTTGTGACTTTTCTTTTTATTTTGAGAACACGAGTGCCACCTAGTGGGCATTGTGTTAAATTAATAGTAATACCAAACAACTATGCATCAGAAGTACCTATGCAGTTAGTTTTACAGACTTCCTAGGAGTCCCCGCTTGCACCTACCTAATCAGAATTTCTAGGGGAGGATTCCTGGCACGTTGTTTTTTAAAAAACTCCATATGTGATTTCGGTGCACCACTCAGAGGTGAATACCATATTTGTTTCTGTAGGAGTAGAGCTTTAGAAAATTAGGACGCCTGGCTCCATTTCAACTACTTCCTGTTGAAAATTGTGGGAATTCTTTGCAGAAGTCCACAGAGACAGTGAAGATTGGCTGGGTGACTAGTATGGTTGTTTCTGTAAAGTTTTGATGGCCTAAATCTTTCCTAAATACCGTTAGAATTCTGACATTGACTCAGCATTGCTTGCATCTGCCCTCACGACCCTCTCATTTTATTGAAAGTGGACACTTAACGGAGATTTCAAGAAGGGAAATGTGACTTCTGATGACAGGATATGTGCTTCTTACTGTTCTGCTCTTTACCCATTTAGGCTTTCTAATCAAACAGAACAGAATTACATTATCTGGAAATCTAGAGAGTTTTTAAAAAATATGGCACTGTTTGTAAAATTGATGTTATTTTCAGAAATATCAGAAAATTGATCAAAATTTCCAAAGCCCTTGGAATTCTGCCATATATTCTTCAAAACACATTTCTTTGACTCTATTTGCATACACACATATATTATAGTTTTATGGTGTGTTCTTTTTACTTACTCATATATCGTTAACTTCTTAACATATCAGTAAAAGCACTGGTGTATCATAATTTAATCAGTGGATGGTATTCTATTGCAATGAGTACAGCCTAATTTATTTAACGAAGCCCCTCTTGTTTATAGACAACAGTTGGATAAACTTTCTGGTAGCTATCTCCTTATATACAGAGTTAATTACTAGGGCAGAAGTTTTGGTCACTTGGCTAGTTGATACTGTGTCATTGTTATTCACAGGAGATTCACATAAAGATAACCCAGTAAATGTGTCACATTTAAGATTCAAAAGCTGGTTAGTTCTTTATAAACATTCCCAGAGAGAGTGAAAGGCACCATTTTAACAGCACCATAATTTTATATCTGCATTGTGGTTTCGTTTATTTGTTCTCTTTTGGTTTTGGTTTTCAGTGACTTTCAAACACACAACCTCGTTTGATCCCCACAGTGACAATCCCACGAGGTGGAAAGAGTAAAGATGACCTGGACTTTGCAGATAAAAGACAACTGAGGCACTGAACCAATGTCACATTAAATTGTGGTCTATAACCAGATGTTAGTTTTTTAAAACTGTTGTTTACAGTATTTTCCCAGTTTTACATTTTGATAAATGTGGACACAGTTTCAAATGTAATTGTTCTTTTTAAAATTAAAGATGACACTGATTTCTTTAGCATTTAAGGTCCAATATAGTTCACTTCCAGTGTGATGGTGGAAGTCACTCCTTAGACTGCTAATCACATGCTGATTTGAAAATGTTTTCTTTTATGATAAAATAAATGTCATTGTTCACAGGGAAATCCTGTAACACTCTCAGTTACAAAACTGAACATCTAGAAACAGGAAACATTAGGAGAATCAAAGAGTTTAAAACTTTTGCTAACTGTTCACCCGTTTGTCAACATAGAATAATAACTGGAAATTTGGGAGCAGATTAAAATGGAAAGAAAAATTGCATGCACACGGGAATATACAATATTGTACATACTTTCAATATATCTCTTTGGAAAAACAATTCTCTGTGCTGCACTCAGCTGAATAATTTATTCTCTTGGAAATGTGTGTGTTTTGATGGCTCTTGGGGAGGACCCAGGCAGCGAGGCCTCGCAGAATGGAGGAGCAGGCCCCAAACTGCACCTGTGACCCGGTGTGGACGTTCCTGCCTCCAGGACAATCTCAACGGAGTGTCTAGTTTGCTGACTTACTTGGTTCATAGTTTGCCTCCTCCAATTACAATGTAGCTTCAGGAGAGCAAAGCCTTCAGTCTATTTTGGCTCTTTTTTTTTTTTTAATTCCCCAGTGCTAAAAATAATGCCTGCAACATAGAAGTCTCTCGATAAATATTTGTTAAATAAATGATTAGGAAATGAGAAAAAGCTGAGACGCATTTACTACCCCCTCCTCCCCCAAACATAGACTATTCCACAGAAAGAATATGAAAATAAATCGCCAAGGGAAACTATAGGTATTAAGGGGAGACAGTGGTATACTTTACTCATAGGATCGTTTTAGTTGTAAATATAAGTATGTATTTTCACCAAGAAATGAAAATTTCAGTAAGAACTTGAATTGGAAATTCAGTTTTTAATGACAATTTACTGATATAATTCACATACCATACAGTCCATCTACCATCTACTTAAAGTGTGCGATTCAGTAGCTTTTTGTAGATTCAGAGTTGTGTAGCTATCATCACTGATCAATTTTACATTTTCATTACCCCCTCAAAGAATCTTCGTATCCATCAGTAGTTACTCCCCATGTCCCCTCAATGCCCAACCCCAGCAATACTTTTTATATAAAATATTTATATTCTTAGCAAGATTACCTCTAGACATATTATGTTTACTGTAAACTTTTTGCTGCTTTATGTAGTACATTTTCACTATGCTAACATTTCTAGAAAAATGTTCAAATTTGTGAAAAATATAACTTATTAATTACTTCTGTGTTCCCTCCATCTTAGGACACTAACATAGCCCCCTTTGTGGCCTCCTCACATCGGGTCTTCATCGAATTTCACGCGGAGTACGCAGCGCGTCCGTCAGCAGTACGCCTGATTTGGGACAGCTAAACGCGCAGGGTGTGTGTTTGCCCAGGCTCTCCCGCAGCGGCCGCCGGACGTCCTGCTGGACGGAGCTCTGCCATCTTGATCCATGACCCCTGCCTGCACCACCAAGAATAATTTGAAGGTGTATGTTTTTCACCAAAGCAGATGTGGAATCGATATCTGAACATATTTTTTGAACATAGAATGTAGTAGTCTTGGCTGTCCACATCATCCTTCTAATATTTTGAACTGAAATTTTCTAAAATTCCTTAAAGACTTGGAAATGATTGACATGTGTTGTAAATTTTCAAAATGATTTTCACTGTGAATGTCAAGTTAGGGGTAATAAACATGATTGCATTGTACACAAATATGCTGCATTAATTTTTACCTCTTTTAGTCTTACACTATAGGGTACACATAACCTTTCAAGTTGCATTTTTACATTTTGACGAGGTACATGAATCCTTCAGGGTCAGAACTGGAGCCAGGCTGCCTGTGTTTGGATTTGCTTCGAGTTAAGGGCTTAACTTCTTTGTGCCTGTTTCTGTAAGTACCACCATTTTCTATTCTTAGCTTAACAATCCAAGGTGTGAAGTTATAATAGTTGGACAACAATTTCATAAACTCTTCTGCTGCCTTTAACAAAGCAAGAGACTTTACGTTAAATATGCAAAGTTAGGTCTTATTAAGTGAATGGATGAAGTTGTGGGAACGTGTTATAGTGTTACTTCGTCATACTCAGACTCAAATGCCAGAGAAATTATTTCTGCACACAGAGCCATGTACGTATTTTTACCTTAAAAATTCCTGCTTTCTTTGACTGCATTATGGATAGATATCATCAACCCTATGGATGACATGCTATTGGAAAGAACTGTGAACGCGGCGAGGAGCACCATCCAACTCAAAGGGTCTTGACGAGCTGGAACAATGGACTAAAATTATTAAGATGGAATTTGATAGGGGTTGATAACTCTTTTATCTAAAAACAAATCACGAAGCTACAGCATATGGAGAAAGTTAAACAATAACCTATGAAATAACAGGAATTTGATCTGAAAGCAAGATTAACATATGCAGCTCTAAAACAAGAGAGGGTTTGATCTTAGATTGCATGGTTAGAGTAAAGGAATCTATGTCATTTTCAGTCAGAGAGATACGATTTCCTAGGAAGCATATTAGGATATTTAGGAGGCGTACGCATCAAGTTGAAGAAAGCATAGTCAATATTATTATGTAATTTTAAAACTGAAAACTTAAAATGGAAAAGACATTTTCTCCTATTTTTTAAGTTGCCCTTTCAATTTATTATTTCGTTTGCTGTGCAGAAGCTCTTTAGTTTAATGTAGTCCTGCTTGTTTATTTCAATTTTTGTTGCCTGTGCTTTCGGTGACTTATCCAAGAATTCTTTGCCAAGACTGATATCAAGGATTTTTCCTCTATGTTTTCTTCCAGGAGTTTTATGGTTTCAGGTCTTAGATTTAAATCTTTGATCCACTTCAAGCTAATTTTTGTGAGTGGTATAGGATAGGGGTCCACTTGCATCCTTTTGCAAGTAGATATCCAATTTTCCCACTACCGTTTATTAAAGAAATTGCCCATTTTATGTTCTTGGCACCCGTGTCAAAAATTAATTGACCATATATGTGGGGGTGTGTCTCTGAGCTTTCTATTGTTTCACCAATCTATACACCTGTTTTTAATGCCAGTATCATAGTTTCGATTATTATACTTTGTTCTATCGCTTGAGATCAGGAAGTGTGATGTCTCTACCTTTGTTCTTCTTTTTCAGTAATTCTTTGGCTATATGGGGTCTTTTGTGGTTCCATATAAAATTTGGGATTGTTTTTTTTATTTCCGTGAGGAAAAAATGCCATTGGAACTTTAGGATTTCATTGACTCTATAGATCACTTTTGGTAGTGTTGGCATTTTTCACAATATTAATTCTTCCAATCCAAGAACAGAGTATCTTTCTAATTATTTGTGTCTTTTTCAATCTCTTGTGTCTTACAGTTTTCAGTGTATATGGCTTTCACCTCTTTCGTTAAATTTATTCCTAAGTATTTTATTGTTTTTGATGCAATTGTAAATGGAATGCTTTCTGGATTTCTCTTCCAGATAGTTTCTTATTAGTATATAGAAATGTAACTGATTTCCGTATGTTGAGTTTGTACCTTGCTACTTTACTGAATTCATTTATTCATTCTAGCGGATTTTTAGTGGAGTCTTTAAGGTTTTCTATATATAATCTTACGTCATCTCTCATTAGTAAGACCTATCTCATTTCTTCCGGTCTGCTGTACATTTAACTCATTCATTTATAAATGTTATTGAGCATTTACTATGTGACACGGACTAGGCACACCTAAGATAAAGTGATGAACGAGATGGCTATACGATTCCATCGACCATCTCTCTACTTCAGAAAGCCTCCTTCCCAGCTCCATCTTGCGGGGTTTCCTGAACCAGTCCCAAGGCAAAATCCTCACTTTCCTTATCTGGTGAAACTTACATTTAGTCAGCTCCCCAGGTCTAGTGTCTAAGTGGAAATTTTCCTCCTCCCAGATTGCATCGCATAAAGCTCCATTGTTAGTGATCGGACCCCTGGACAGACTAACAATCAACGAGCCGGCACTGGCATAGGCATCCTGGGTGTTAAAATATTGAGATACACAAAAATGCTGCTTTCAGGCTATAGTAGAATCCAAAAAGCCATAATGTAAAATACTTGGGTCTGAGGGGTGGGGAAGGGGTGGTCTTAGTTCGACGTTAATGGAAAAGGATATCCCACATGGGTCTGAAGGAACCGAAACAAGCACAAATCTAAAGAAAAGGAAATGTCTGCTGTCCACAGCTGATCATACACTGAACTAAGAAAGCCTCACGGTCACCTTCTAACCCCATTGTACTCCAGATGAGAATGGGAATGTAAGACACCCTGTTTGAGAAGGAGCAGGACAGGGGACAATAGCCAAACCCCAATACCACCTCCTCCTCTAGCGTCCTCAGGATCCAGCAACCAAAGGGCTAATGCCAACACAGAAGGGGCTTTCAGACTCCATTCCAGCACTACCTGGTGGCCATTCTGATTCATTTCTCCTGGTGATACCCACCCCTCCATGCTCACAGCCTGGGAACCCAGAACTGGAGAGGAGCCAGGCTTACACCTGCCATCTGATCTCCTCATCTGGCCTTCAGGGAACTGGCTGAGATAGCTCACAAGAGGCCAGCCATCACAGGTCTCTCTGTACCCAGTGGCATGTCCTGGCATTTTAGGTACTCTTATGAAGAATGGCCAGGAGACAGATGGGGTTGATGGCAGTTTGGGGCTAAGAGGTACCCAGGATATGGGTTCTATTTGACATAATTTCCTATTAAATTTCAACTCCATTGAGTAGAAAAAATTTGATAAAAACATGTCAATCACTCACCAAGGGAACATTAACACCATTAATTTTATTAAGAAAAATGAAAACTAATATCTATATAATATTTGCTCTATGCCAGGCATCATTCTCATATATCACTCACTGAAATAATAAATCACCCCATTTTATAGATGTGAAAAATGAGATACTTAAAAGTTATATAAAACTTGAGAGACAGAGCTGTGATGCTAACCTCAGCCCAAGAGAGAGCCTCCCATCAGACCTGAAGAATTAGGTGCGAACTTATTAAATATGACAGTCAAACTGTCTTCATATATATATATACATATATACACACATCTTATTTAAAAGGTTGACACTGTTACATGACCTAGAAAAATTTTTAATGTAATTTGTTAGTTTTGTAAAAACTTAGAGATTATACAGCATCAAAATTAATGTTAATAGAAGAAAATGTTTTTATTTACTCAGACCTCAAGTCATCCCATGGCTATTCATTTAATGGGGGAAGTTATTGGAAGAAAAATGGTAATTGTTGAATATTTGATGAAAAATGTGCTTTTCAAATTTTAATTTGGTAACTATGACACTTAAATTTATTATAAATGCAGTTTAGAGAAAAAAGGCATTTTAAAATTTGATGATTTATGGAATTTCTGTGAATTTACCAGTTGTTATAACGTAGTGTGCCTTATTTGGACAAGGCATCTTCCATACGCTATCTTTGACTGGGCCGGGGTGGGGATAGTGCATTTCTAATGGGAAGTATTGAAGCATAGACTGTTAAGCATAGAGCACTTGGCAGTGATGCTACAAAAATGATTTAAGCTCTGATAAATACTGACTTTTCCATGCAGGACTGGTTACATAATTTGCAAGGCTCAGTGCAAAAGGAAAATTCAGGGTCCCTTGTTTAAAAAGTATTACACATTTCAAGATAGTGACAGCAGAGCATTAAACCAATGTGGGGCCCATGTAGGTGTGGAGCTTTGCGTGACTGCACAGGACGTATGTTCAGGAAGCTGGCCCTGTTTCTGTGTTACAAAAATCTGGAACTTAGGGACACGTTTCATTAAGATTTGCACTGGTAAAATGACGAGAATGAGAAGAGAATTACAAGGGAGTGATAACAATTTCTGGAAAACAGGATTTGAATGGAAGCATGCAGACAAATGAAAGAGAAATTACAGCCCAAAATAATTTCAAGTGGGAAATGCAGCAGAATTGGGAATCGACTTTCCAGGTGTTATCTGGATGTGGGGCTGGCAGGTGCAGTGTGACATGGTGAGACCAGAACTAATAAAACTGTATTAGTTGGTGCTCACAATTCATCGTTTCCCTCCACCAGCTAAGGCAGTTTAGAGAATTAAAGAAAAGGCAGTTTAGAGATTACACGCAGACATAAAACTTGGCTCTTACCTCTGAAGAAATTTAACAAACAATCCAGGGAAAATTAATGCTGACCTAGGAGGTAAACAAATACATAGCAACAACAGAAGAGCTACATCAGCTATATAGAAAAACCCGCTCGGACCTTCATGCTTGAATATGAAAGGACAACCAAGAATCACCAGATGGAGAATTACAGTAGCAAGAGTGGAAAAAACTAGGTAAACAAACATAAAAAAGGGATACTTGAGGAAACACAATTTAGTAAACGGAGATATTCCAGCAAGACATATACAAATAAATGTCTGTCAAAACCCAGGAACCAAGGGAAATCACACATAATCAGTCAGCTGGAAGGACAGAAAGGATCAGTTTAAGTTAGAGCAGTAAGTTAGTGGGTTCCTAAAGTCTTAAAAAAAAATAATTCATTGGATTTTAAGCAATGGAGAGGAATGAAAAGCTGCAAGATCGTAGAGATACGGTAAGGAAGGTTACAAGAAGAAAACGAAAAGCAGAAACCCTAGTAAGAAAACAGAGAAAACTGTGTAATAAAATCATCATTCGACATAAAGCAAATTAAAACATGACACAATTTTGAGTGTATTATAAGAAAAGCGACGTCATTTATGTGTCCTGGTATTTTCCCCTTCATGTGACACAGAGGTCCATGGTTGAGAGCTGAGGACACACAGACCACCATGGAGTTTTTGTCTTTGACGAACTCTTAATATAGAGGGAGGCACAACGGTGGATCAGGAACTCATGGTAGCAACTTCTAATAAGTGGATTCGCAGATATAGAAGCAGGATATCAAGAGAAAGTTCACTTTGTTGTAGCCGCCAGCCCCCGAAAGACACACGAACCACCAGGAATCAGTGAGTCATAGGAATACCATTCTTTATTCAGCCAGCTGGGTCTGCTAGGGGTATGCAGACCCCAAATTAAGCAGCCCCGAAATGTAGAGGGTACAGGGTTTTTAAGCCCCAAATCCCATTCTTCATTGTGTCTGAACACAAAGGTCTATTTTTCTCCTATTCACTACCTGTCAACCTATAGGTCGGGGTGTGCAAGCGGGGAGCACAGAAGCGGAAAACTTGTTATCAGAATGTTATGTCCCTATGATCAAAAGCCTTTTGTTCCCATGGCGATAGTCAAACAGTAATTTCCTATAAGTAGTAAATCTCAAGTAGTCATTTTTCAGCCACCACAACTTCTAGGTTCCCCAGAACCCAACTTTCGTTACCACTTGACCTCTCCAGCCGCTTCCTAAAGGTCTCTTCCTAAAGGTTCCGCCCACAGCACTCTGTGCTTCGACCTAGGAACTGAGCCTGCGCCAACACTAGTGCGCACGCGCCACCTCTTGTCCAATTGGAATCCCAAACCCGGATTCCAGGTGGGCGGAATAACCTCAGGGTGGGGCGGAATCACAGAGCCGGAGAACGCACGTGATTGGCCGGCCTCAGGTACTTGTTCTTTCATGGGCGGAGCCTCGCTTGAGGCCACGTCTAGAAAACTATTCTCCTAATTTGGGAAGGGCTGGGCGCGCGCCGAGAGTGGAGCTGCGCGTGGCTCCGAGTGCGCCTGCGCGGAGCGCCGGGACAGGGCGTGTTCCTCGTTCGGGTGCGCGTCTACCTCAGGCGGGCTGCGGTTTTCCCTCCCCGCAGTCGTGCGCCCTGCGGGACCCCGTCATTTCTACGCCCAGCCTGATACGTGCCGCTCTCCGCGGTGAGTGTGCGTGTCATTGCACTTGGGTTTGCGTGTCTGCGCGCGGCCGGAGTGGTGCCGGACCATCCCCTCTCCACTCCCCGCCCCAGCCTCCTCGGTGCACCCGGACCCTGCCCGCTGACGCCCACCTTCCAGGGTCGAGGAGAACCGGAGGGTGCCATCTGAGGTTCACTCCTTTCTGCCCTTGCACCCTCCCGGCCGTCGCCCACGTGCTTTGTTGTTGTCGTTTGGTACAGATCATGTCCAAGTCTCTGAAAAAGTTGGTGGAGGAGAGCCGGGAGAAGAACCAGCCGGAAGTGGACATGAGTGACCGCGGCATCTCCAACATGCTGGATGTCAACGGCCTGTGTGAGTTCCCGGCAGGGCCTTAAAAGCTGGAAGGGCTTTTAAGTTTTACAAGTGACTGCCGGTCGTGGTGTGAGAGGTTGTCATAGTTTACATTCCACCGCCTGCTTGTAAACATCACTTGTCAAGACCGTAGAAAGTTTGCAGTCAGAATTTGTTCTGTTTTGACTGGAAATGACCATGAGACCGGGGCGGGAGTCACACAGAGAGTTGCTGCTGTGCCTCAGCACTTGTCTGTGTCGGTTTACAGCATTTGGGTGGGTTTCCCACACAATTTACTTAATAGCCACTTTAGTATTTAGTTGAAAATCATTTTTGAATTCTTCCTACCTCCTAATACAGTCTTTGGCCCTTGAACAAATGCCACAGAAAAGTTACGTGATAAGTAATTGTGCCTGGAGTATGTTCAGCATTTCTTGACACATTACCTTTTTCTGGGTCTTTTTTCTAACTTATAGTTCAGACTTTTGTTATCTTCTGCTTGTGCTACTGTGATGTCTTCCTAACGTTCCTTCTTGCGTCTAGTTTCATTGCCCCTGTGGTTAGTATTGTGACTTACACTGCTGTTTTCCCGTAACATATTATTGTGTTACTCTCTAAAGGAGGGGTTGCAGATTCAAATGCCTGCGGGGTCAGATGAGGATGGTCATTAACTCCTTAGTATTTCGTGGGAAGGGGGCAGCTGCTACACCTGGTGCTCAGATCCAAACAATTGTTACCACCTGGGGACGTTGGCTTAGCGTTGCTATTTTTTTTTTTTTTTAGAAAGTGGGAATCCAGATGAAATTTCCTTAATTTTAGAAGTCGGCAAGGAATTTCAGTATTTGAAAAATACTTTATAAAGATGAAACAAGACACTCTTCATGCTAAATGTGGCCTCAGTTTGGACCTTCTCCCTTAAACACAACTCCTGTTTAAGGGTTGTTCATTACCAATAGTAATGCTCCAGGTACCTTGGCGTGACATGCAAGGCCTTCCTGAATATGGTCAAATACTTTAGCTCTTGTCTCTACCATGCATTTGGTGTCTCAGCCATGCGACTTCATTGCCCTTCCTGAACCTTGGCACACGCTTTCATGTCTGTGTACCTTTACAAGTGTTTCCTCCCTCTCCAGTCTTCACCTGAAATCCTTCCCTTTTTATCAAGAGTCAGCTCAGATATCATAGCCTAAGTGAAGCTTTCTCTATATCAAGCTGAGATAGTCACTCTCACTTCTGTGAAGTTGGTTATGCCTTGTTTCATGACAGGATTGTAATGTGTTTTTAATCTAGACTACTCTTCTCCATTGGGAGACTGGAGGGGCTGAAGCTGTATAATAGTCATATTGGCCTTCTTTATAACAGTGGCTGGAACAGCGTAGGTGCTCAAAAATGTTCAGTGGATGAAGGAAAGAATGATGGATTAGACCTGTGAGTGTCTGAGATCCAGACCAGGATGTGACACTGGAGAAGAAGGAGAGAGGTCCGAGAGACCCTAAAAGATGGTGGAGTGCTCGTTAGGCATGGAGGGAGCAGAGTCAGATTTCAAATTGACTGTGAATTCATGGTTTGTGCTGAGGTCAGATTGATACGTCTCAGAAAGGGAAAGGGAATGAAGAGCTGTAGACGATTTGCAGTTGGTGACTCTTAGGAAGATACCTGGCATTAAGCTTAGCTTTTGTACTACTTAGCATTTCAGTCTCTTGAGGAATGAAGAGCTGTAGACGATTTGCAGTTGGTGACGATTTGCAGTTTAGGAAGATACCTGCCGTTAAGCTTAGCTTTTGTACTACTTAGCATTTCAGCCTTTTGGTATGTGTTGGCCTCTCTCCATAGTGATGGCTTTTTGGTGGCAGCAACAGAGCAGATGTCTCTGGTACTGAAATGGCAGTTGTGGATCTGGCTGTGTCCCCACGCTGCCCCTGTCTGGCCCTGTTGTGATCCTGATGATCCCTGGGGCAGTGCTTCATTGGACGGAGGAGATGGTGAGCAGCAAGTAGGAGACCCGGCTCGGCTGCAGTCTTCGCCTTATGGCTTTCTGCTCCTTGGCACCCTTTTTCTCACGGGCTTGAAGAACGAGGTTTCTTTCAGCAGAAGAATGTTACACTTCTCAGCTTTGAAGAGGATCCTTTATGTAATATTTATAAGTAGGGACAAATGGCATAGCTATTTTGGTTCGGTTGCATTATCTTTTTGAGGCCTTGGTTTTTACTGAAGAAGAAAAGATAAGACACTTGCTTCCTGCGAAAGATGTTTCCTGCGTAATATGAGATGGTGAAAAGTAAATCATTCTTAAATTTTCCTAGAGAAGTAACTTAAGGAAGAACAATAGTACTTCCTGGGGAGTTCATTGGAAGTGAATTCGGCCTCTAGTGTGCATAGACCCAAGGAGTGGCCGCTTTCTGCTATAACTCCCTGACTTCTGGAATCTTGGAGCCTTAAGAAGCCCATTCCTCAACTGGAACTCATCTGTCAGCAGTGCACATAATGCTTACTATGTGTATCTAAATATTTTACATATGAAAATATTTGACATGGTTAAATTAACTAGGATAAGAATTCCCATATTCCTTATAAAATTATGACAGTAACCATGGGGTTTTATGGATTAACATCAAGATAAAACATTGGGAATAATTCATTTGCATGGACAGAGAACAGTTACTGTGTCTCAGACTTTCCCTTCATTGTCCTTAACTTCTTTCAGTTTCTCAGAAGATAAGTGAGAATTAAGTTTTGAACAAAAACATGGAGGTTTCGTACTTATTCTAAGCATATGAAATGTCCATCTTTCTGCTTGGGAGAGTTTTATAAACATAACGCTGCTTCTGAGATAGTCAATTGCCTTTAAAAAATGTTTTCAGGAGCTTAGGTACCAAAAACTTTCTGATGGGGAAAACTTGGTAGGCCGGAGACAGCCAGCAGACAGGTTCTAGAGTTTTCTGCCAGATTCTGGATATGGCCAGATCCTGCCCTGAGAGGCAGAATAGTACAGTGCTTTTGAGTGAGGCCTTGGGTTGAATAGACTGGCTTCAAATAATCCATCTTCTTCTACTGCTGTGAAACTCTAGGGAAGCTACTTAACCTTTCTGAGCCTCACGGTCCTCGCTGTCAAATGGAGACGTAAGTACCCATTTGGTAGGACTGTTTTAGTGTAAATGCTCGGGAAATATTATCTCTGCGACTCTGCAGGTGGAACCTGTTTGCCTCAGATGGTGCCGATTCCAGTGTCCTCAATGGCCTGAACCAAGAGTATACCGGGTCCTGTGTCGATGTTTTCCACGTGGCTTCTTAGGACCTGGAGAATTTGGCACCTTTGCCTAGGGTTCTTACAGATTTAGATTGCTGTATATATTTTTAATTAACTCTCATTTTTTTCTTTTCCTTCATTTTTTTTACACATGTAACTGCACACGTGTTTTCCTTAAAGCTTTCAAGAGTAATAACACTGATTTCATTCTTTTTGTTAAAGAAATTTCACTGCAGAACCTCTTCCCCCTCGCAGTAGCCGTCTCCACCCGGGTGATAAAGCTGCCTTTGAAGGGTCCTGTAATCAGCTGCCAGGGAGCTGAGAATCCCACCAGTAGCCTGGGAGACTTTGCTCAGTTCTTTTATTTAAGTCTTTTGTGACTTTTTAATCTCTCCAAGTTTATTGCCCTGTTGGGGGCCAAACCTTTATCAGTTTTTTTTTTTTCCCCTGGTTAGACTAAAATATCTTTCAGATCAGTCTTCAAAAAGAGAAATACCTATCTTGGAAGAAGTGGTTTTTCTAAAGAACCCTGCAAAATGATTCACAAAAGTACTAATGGAAGGAACGTTTCAAAAGCCCTGTTAAACCTGGAAGTGGTCACCTTCCTTAGGAATTATCAGTTATAGACATACCTCATTTTATTGCTCTTAACAGGGGTTGTGGTTTTTTGTTTTGTTTTGTTTTGTTTTTTACAAAATGAAGTCAAGACCCTCCACCAGCAAAAAGAGAATGCCTCTCTTTATTGCCGTACTGACTTTGTTGTGGTGGTCTGGAACGAGTCAGGATCTCTCCGAGTTTGCCTGTGGGTGGTCTTTGGGGGAAAGAGAAAAGTTGGGAAGGCCACATCCTTGAGCCGTTATCTTTATGAAGACCTTTTATCTTGTGCTCCTCCAAGTTGCCTGTATCTGCCCACCTCAGTGTTCTGAAACCTGCAGCCTCTGGCCTGGGAAGCCCCTTGCTCTCTCCAGCTAACTCCTCCCTCCCTTGTCACTTAATGCTTGTAAAAGAAGGAATGACTTACTTATCTAGCCACATGACTCCATTTGTGTGTCACTTCCTCTGAGGAGCTCCCCCATCACCCCATCCAGCCTGGTTGAAGTGGCTTTTCTGGGCCTGGTGTGCATGCTTCTGTTAACCTCGTACTGGGCATAGTGCTTGGGGAAAGTTGATCAAAGAAGGGCGCTATTGCTTTTAGTTAAGAATTCAGGCGATCTAGGGTGGAAAGCATAGCACCCTAGGGAGAGGGAAGTAGCCTCTGTGTCCCCGCCACAGGCTTCTCTCCTTCTTTCCTAAGGGGGAACAGTTTACAACCATCAGGAACATGATAGAACTGTTTAGTGTTCAAATTTGATTTTAGGACAGGGTAAAAACAAAACATTTCATCCAGATAGGAAATAAAAATAAAGAAAAATTGTGACCCTCTTTGGTGTAATTGAACTAGTAATGACCTTTCACCATTTTTCAGAAAATCATTTGACATTTCGGTTCCTGTCAGCCAGGGCCTCTTTTTTGTGAACAGCATTTTGGTTACTAGCTGTGCAACCTTGAGTAGGTCACTTAACCTCTCTGTGCCTCAGGTTTCTCACATATAAAATGGGAATAATAAGAATAGCCACCTCATAGAATTGCTGTCATTATCCTAAAGGTGCCTGGCTCACTGTCCGGCCCATCTCGGTCCATTTGGGCTGCTCCGACGGTATTCCACAGAACAGGAATTATTTCTCACGGTCTGGAGGCTCCAAGTCCAAGGGCACGGTATGGGCAGATTCGATGT